CACTCTCCGCCACAAGTGACTTAAGGAAATGAATTATTTAATTATCACTTGAAGGTAGATCGACCTGAATTGTATTTATTTATCGAAGATGTTTGATTTTATTTAAATTTTTTTATCTTTTTATCTATTTCTTATACGACTATATATAAAATAAAATTATTTATATTTAATATATTTATATTGACTCAAAAACTATCGAATTTAGTAAATTTTTTAATTTGTTTAAATATTTTTACGTTCAAGTTAAGTGAATTAAAATCATCCCAAATAAAAAGCAACTGAATTTGTGTGATTTTCTGTAATTGTTAAATATCGATTAATTATAATGAAATTTGCACACACATATATATATATATATATTTAGTAAAAATCTATGTATATAAGGTTTAAATTTATTGCATATAATTACAATTTAGTAATAATTTACGTATAGAGTGTATAATCAACTTAATTTACTTGGACATAAAAAATTTTACTATATGAAATTTTAGGAATAGAGAATTGAGCTTGCACGACGTCGTTTCGTCAACTTTAGCTTTTTTAATCGACTTTAACCTTGTCGATTTTTACTCTCTAGTTTATTTCCCTAATTCCCCTTATGGCCCCAACCGCAGGGAGTCCAAACTCACGGAAGCCAGAACGGAAATGGCGAACCGGCTCCAGTCGCCAACCAGCAAATATATCTTCTCGTGCTCGAATGACGACCAGATAGCATGCGCCGCGGCGCGCGCCGTCGCTATCGTTCTTTATTTTGTTTCTTCTTCAGTTTGCTTTCGCCTGGAAAGAACTAAACATTCGTCTCCCTCTCTCAATCCATTGAGCCAAAAAATAGCCTTTGGATGTGGAAGTTGAACTTCATCACTGCTTCTGGAGGGTGACATGAGAGGATTTTCTTCTTTAGCTTCTAGAGCAACACCTGCACTAAAAAATCTCTCTCAAGAATTATTCAATCGCGGAAAATTTAACGCAGAAAACCCGAGAAATCTCAAAGCTTCGACATTTCTCAATCGCAATCGAACAAGCAGCGTTGAAGCGCATTCAATAGGTAATTTCCATAAGCTCGATTTTGTTTCACTATCGAAGATTCCCACTTCTGCCAAGAAACATGTAAAGCTCATTGATCACAGTTACTTTTCTCGAATTTTATCACGGAAGGACTGGTTTTTGCTGCTAAACCACGAGTTTAAAGCTGGGAGGATAGGTTTGGATCCTCGGTTTGTAGTGAGTGTTCTACAAAATCAAGAAAACGCATTACACTCATTGAAATTTTTTATCTGGGTTGCCAATATCAACGCTTCGATTGCCCAGAACCAGTCTGTTCGGGGCGTCTTAGCTAATGCACTTTATCGGAAGGGTCCTATTTTACTATCTGTTGAAGTGCTTCGAGATGTCAGGAACTCGGGCTGCGTAGTTACGGAGGATCTGCTCTGCGTTTTGATTGCTAGCTGGGGCAGGTTGGGATTGGCTAAGTACTGTAATGATTTTTTTGGGCAGATTTCTTTTTTGGGTATTAGTCCTAGTACAAGATTGTATAATGCCATTATTGATGCATTGGTGAAGTCCAATTCCCTTGATTTGGCTTATTTGAAGTTCCAAGATATGTCAAGGGATAATTGCAAAGCAGATAGGTTCACTTACAATATACTTATTCATGGAGTATGTAGAATTGGTGTGGTTGATGAGGCACTTAGGTTAGCGAAACAGATGGAGGGGTTGGGATATAGGCCTAATGTTTTCACGTATACAATGTTAATCGATGGGTTTTTCAATGCGAGGAGGGTCGATGAAGCATTTAAGGTAGTAGAGACAATGGAGGTGAGGAATGTCAGTCCAATTGAAGCTACTGTTAGATCATTGGTTCATGGAGTGTTTCGTTGTCTTGCTCCACATGAGGCATTGGAGCTTTTTATAAGATTCATGGAAACGAAACCCATCTTCTGGAGATTGGCTTGCGATTCGCTATTGTATTGCCTTTCAAATAAGACCATGGCAAAGGAGGCAGCTTTCTTCTTAAGGACAATAAAAGAGAGAGGTCATTTTCCCGACAGTTCAACATTTAACATCACAATGACTTGCCTGATAAAGGGATTGGACCTCGACGAGACATGTAAAATATTGGATACTTTCATTGAGCGAGGTGTGAAGCCAAGTTTGGATATATATCTTTTACTGATCCAAGCTCTTTACAGAGATGGAAAAAGTGTGGAGGGGGATAAGTATTTGAACCAGATGGTTATAGGTGGAACTATATCAACCGACTACACTTATAACATGGTAATAGATTGCTTTTGCAAAGTGAACATGATGGACAGGGCGAGAAAGACTTTTAGGGAGATGCAGAATAGAGGTGTTGTTCCCAATCTTGTTACTTTCAATACCCTAATTAATGGCTATTGCAAGGAAGGAGAGTTATGTGAGGCACTTAAAATGTTGGAGTTGCTTCTTGAGTGTGGGTACAAACCCGATCTATTCACTTTTGGTTCACTTATTGACTGCCTTTGCCAGGTATACTGCATTGAAGATGCTTTAGATTGTCTCACTGAAATGGTCGAGTGGGGTGTCACTCCAAATGCTGTCATATATAACATATTAATACGCTCTCTTTGTGTAGTTGGGGATGTTGGCAGATCACTGAAACTTTTAAGAAGGATGAAGGTGAACGGAGTGAGCCCCGATGTTTTCTCCTTCAATGCCTTAATACAAAGTTTTTGTAGAATGAAAAAGGTCGAGAAAGCAGAGATGCTTTTTGTCTCCATGTTGACACTGGGATTGAATCCTGACAATTATACATATTGTGCTCTTATCAAGGCCTTGTGTGAGTCTGGAAGAATTGATGAAGCCAAGAAGTTGTTTTCATCAATGGAGCTGAATGACTGTATTCCTGATTCATATACATGCAACCTGATTGCGAGATATCTTGTCCAGGAGGGCCGATCAAAAGAGGCTGAGAGTATTCTAGAAAAATTTAAGCAAAAGTAGCTCCAGAGGGTTTGTTTGCATACTTTAAGGACCACGAACTGCTGCTCTTTGAAGCTGAAGCAGCTTTAAGGGTCTGTTGTGTACTGGTGGAATCAAGTCATATGGATGTACAATGAGACATTCCTTCGTGCTCTTTTCTGAGTTTGTCATATCTCCTAACTGGAGATAAATGAATTTACTCCCGGAACAATATGTTAAGATTCTCTGACAAGGCCAAGCCTTAGGGTCACTGAGGGAGAGCAATTTGAGTTTGACTTGGCATTACTTACCACATAACTTCTCGGTTGAATCTCACAAGCTTTCTTGTGGGACTTCTATGTGGGGGAAAATTTTGTTTTTCGACCTAAATGGTCTTGGAGCTTTATGGGAGGTAGTGGACATGAAGAGGTAAACCTTGAAGATTTTGGAAAATCCTTGAGAAGGCACCCTAACCATTGTGCTTCATCTGGCTTTTTCTTCAAGACGATTTTGTGGTAGGATTGATTAGTTTGGCTATTTCCTGTGCAGAAGTTGATCTTTGGAATTTCAAGAGGAAATGAATTAATTTGTTTATACCTTCAAAACTCACTTAACGATAGTGGCTATAATTATTCCTATTTGCACTGGCGCAACCGCTTTATCTTGGGGATTGGCTCATGATTCACCCACAAACACTGCACAACAAACGAAATAAATTTTACTTCTACCGTATTTCTGTACAAGGGTGAGCACACAGCTCTCCTGGCCGGTTACTCCTGTATGTCATTTGCTTCCTCGTCCTTGACAAAACCTTTCTTTTTATGCAAATAGGATTAAAATTTACACTTACTAGTCTTATTTAATCCTCTGTTTCCACAGTTTGGTGATCTAATAAGAATATGCCTTGCTCTATAATTCATGTAGTTTAACTGTCAGTTCAGCATTGATGAAAATTTTTAAACTCTTCATGATAGTTTCTTAACACGAAAAAACCTGTGGTTTGGGAAGCAAAACAAGTTTGTTTAAACATTAATTAGTATTATGTTTAAAAATTTGGAACTATGTATATTTTCTAAAGTAGGTCTCTTTTGTATTATTATTGTGTGCAAATGTATTTTTGTCATTGTTGAATTGAATTGTGTTATCGTATTATGTTAAAAAATTTTAGTCTTGATTTGTGGGCAATAAAACTTTGCTCCAACTTCACTTAATTATTATATTTCTGTTCTTGGGTTGTTAAGACTAGCTAAATACCAATTAATTTTGACTTGTAACCAAAATTAGTAAACCAATTAATGTTTTAGGTTTGAACTTTTTTTGCACACGAAATAAATTCCTTTAGCAAGTAAAAATAGTAGGTGACTTGCACTTCAACAAACTGCTTTCTCCTTTGTCCTCCCCCAAAATTGACATTACCAAGAAAAGGGCAAACAGACAACTTTATTCCCTTTTCTTGTTAATTTGCACAAGGGAAATTGCCTAACCACTAGACACTCAAAATCTTATATCCTCAGGGTTGATTACATAAAGGGTCAGTCACTGGATTGATATCACTAAATTTGAACAATGAATAAAACCATACTAATATATTGCTATATATAACTACTCTAAATCTTACCTTCTATTCCACCAAGTTAAAAACTTCTCAAAAATGGCAGTCTCAGTTACCGGTAAATTCTGGGTTTTGGCTATAGCTCTGCTTTGCATCTCTTTGTTCCAGTCCTATCAAGGTAACTTACAGAAAAACATGGAATAGTTTTGTAAATATGATGATGGTAATTTTTCTTTTATTTCTATTTAAGGGTCAAAAAATTATTTTCTTGTGGTAATCTTGAACAGGAGAGGCAAATGAAGAAGAATGATTCCCTCAACAGGGACAACCATTGATGATCCAGCACAGATTGTTGCA